AGAAGCTAGAGTTGCCCTCGGCTATCGCCTCGGGCAACTCTTACGCTCCTTTCGTGCTCTCCAAACTTCCCGCGTGCTCCATAACTCGATAGTGCACGCTAAAGCATGAACCAATTGTTAATTGGCAAGCTTTACGATGCTTTCTCTGTGCATAAGAAAGGACAGTCTCCTCCACTAAGAACTTTACCAGAGGCAACAGAAAAGGTCAAGGAATGCCAACAAATACTCACTGAGTATGAAAAGTCAGTTCTCTCTGTAACGGGATGCTCTGAGATGACACTGAATGGACCCCAGGGCATGGTGTCTGCCGTAACTGTGAGGTCGGTCGATATGCTACACTGGCGATTGGACAGAATGAAGTCACTCTTTTCCTCTCTTTCTTTTGATGCCACTAACCTCCTAAGCTGCATGACCCTTGACGTTGAACACCTGCACTCTACCAGCCACATCAAACATCCGCTGCTATCAAAAAACGAATACTGTAGGGACCTTGGAAATAAAATAGAAGAGAGTACGAACGGCTCTTGTCTTCGACAGTGTATTATTACACCAGTGAAAAGAGCTCCTGGTACCCTAACCCAGAACATGAAATCCCCTTAGCTACACTTCTCTCTATTCCACAACTCCCAGTAGCTAAACTCTCAGAAAAGGCAGTGGAAGAAATGCGTAATTATGCCTTGACGTAGGAGCTGCTGTTCGACAAAGAACAAACCGTCAGGAAACAACCATGGCTCGACATGGAGCGATGCCGGAAATGATTTACCAGAGACAGCTTCAGATATCTGAAGACAGATTCGACTTGGCCTTGTCTGAAGGTTCGGAGTCTTCTGAAGTAAACGAGAACGAAGAGGAAGTTGAAACAGGCGGGAGCGAACCCGAGAATGTGGAGGAGGTCCCAGAATACGACTCAAGTACAGACGAAGACGAGGAACCAGAAGATGGAGATTCAATTATTTCCGAACTTGACAGACGGTCCACTTTTCTATTAGGAGCCACGACACGCTTTGGACGACAAGTCAGGATCAACACCAGATTTCTAATCTAAAGGTAGATCATTTTAGTTGGCAGTTAAAGATCCTTTAAAAAGTGTTAGACCGTATTTTAAAAATTGCCTAGCTAACACAGAACAGCTGAAGGTGGGTTTTTCACCTTTTTACGTGACAAGTAGCGAACGGAGTCGGATTTAACAATTCTTTTTAACGGATTGACGGATTTGGTTATCAAATCGTAGCGGATCGGCGGATTTGCATACCCCTATTCACCCCCCCTCTTTTGTCATTGACGCAGACGAGATCTCGGAATTTCCGTTATGCGAAAGCGAAACTGCCACGCAAACACTGGACTTTAATTTGTATTTAAAATACTGCGTTTACGATCCTCCACTGTTGAGTTATCCGTGTGCCTTTTGAGTCGACTTGTGTGTGCACTATCAGTTGCTTCACGCTCTCCTTTGTGTATATAGTATGTTATTACTGAATTTATCTATCTTTCTTTTGTCAGTGATCTTATCAGACGAGATCACGGAATTTCGCACTACACCGAAATACCTAGTTAAATAATAGAGTGTTTCTGTCGAGGAACTATCGGCTGATAGTTGCCCCGCGGAAATTTGATGTTCTCAAAACAAATATGCTAGCTTTAAG